GGCAGAGCCGGAGGATAGCTTATTACTTAGGCCGGAGCTCGTGAGACAGACTACGGAGAAAGTTACGTTGATTCGAGAACATATCCTTGCGGCATAGAGTCGGCAAAAGAGTTATGCAAATCAGAGGCGATGATCATTAGAGTTCCAAGTTGGGGATTTTGTTTTGTTGAAGGTGTCCTCTATGAATGGTGTACAACATTTTGATAGGTGGGTAAAGCTTGCCCCGAGATACATTGGACCATTTAGGGTCATTGAGTGTGTTGGAACCGTTTCATATTGGATAGATCTTCTAGTATCAATGTCAAATATACACGATGTTTTCCATGTTTTGATGCTCAAAGAGCATTTGCATGACGAGGAGCAGAGAGAGTGATTGATGCATCAGACTTAGAGATCAGACTGATTTGACCGCTATTGAGATCCTAATTCGTACTCTTGCTAGAGAGGATAAGAAGCTTAGAAATAAAGTGATTCCTTTAGTGAAAGTGCAGTGGAATCGAAAAAGAGCTGAGGAAGCTTCTTAGGAGCGCGAGGAGGATATGCGTCGCGACTAACCACACCTGTTTGAACAGGTAAAATGTAACTATGATTTGTTTGTGTTCATATTATATGCATAGTCATATTTATATTTAACGATAGAATGTGGGTATTAACACTTAGCTCCTAATCATTCAAAACATATGATACATACATGGGGGGTTCCTTATTTGGATTTTTTTCCTAAAGTACTAGTTTCGTTTAATTAGGGTTAAGTGAGAGTATTTGCATTCTAGATTGTTAAGTGTAAATATTACTTGTGATACATATCTTGGGATTAATGATACGAGATGTATATGTAAGGGTTTCCTTGTCTGGATTATTCCCTCAATATGATTTTCTCGTATTATTAATCTCTAAAGATACTTTTGCTGAATTTCGAGGACGAAATTCTTTTAAGGGAGGATGAATGTAAAACCCCATAATTTTTTTGAAAAATACTATGGTAAATAGTATTAAATGAGTTATATTATGATAAATATTATTTAATTATGAATGAGCATGATAGTAATTGATTTGAGAATAATTAAGAGTATATATGCATTATATACTGATGCAATTTGAATCTAGAAAAACTTAAAAGACAAAAGTTATAGGTCTCTTCAATAGATTTCCAACGCATCTTAAATAACCTCATTCTGAGCTCAGAAGAAAACGTTACAGGCAAAATACCGAAGACTGTTTTCTCAGTCCTATTTGGATTCGGGTATGTTTGGTTTGTTTCGGGTTTACCTCTATATATGGATATATTTTATGAAAAATTCTCTTTTAGAACATATTTCTGAACCCTAGCAGCCACCCTCTCTCCTCAAAAATCCTAGAACATATTTTGGTGAATTTTGAAGCTTTGTGAAGCAAAATACCGAGAAGAGGACGAGATCATCAACGTTTGGCAAAGAAGGATCTGTTTTCTCGTGTGTTTGGGAGTTCATCATGAGTTTTGAGGCGCGTTTCATCTCCTTCAATCCAATCCTCATTTTTAGTTGATTTATTGAGTTTTATTTGGTTTTATTTGGCCTTAAACCCTAGTTTAAGTATAAGAATTTCTCTTTTAAAGTATATGATACAAAGATTCGATCGTTTTGTTTTAAAAAGTTATAAACGACCTCTTTGATTTGGATTTGAGATATGAAATAAATTCTAACATGAGTTTTTGTTAAGATTTATTTGGTTTTCATGATGTTTCTGTCTAACATGAACATGTTAGGGTTTATATAATTCACCAAGATATAATAATTGAGTTTCATGTAGTTTATTGAACCCTAATCACATTAAACAAGACTGATTATATGTGATTTCATGCAAAATATCAATTTGTAATACTATAGACCAAAACCTGAACTAGAATTTTACTTCCAGGCTTTGCTCGAGTCGGTCGACCGAAAGGAAGGTGTCGGTCGACCGATCCCTGCTAAGTTGCATATGCACGTTTGTGCATAACGTCGATCAGCCGGCCGATGATCTACTTCGGTCGACCGATGTGTTGTTGTCTTATGTATTTTTTTTGCTATGGTTTTGTTTATTCGCTCACACGGAGTATGAGTCGTACATCGAGACACGTGCGTGTCCATAAGGAGTACGAGTTGAGTTTGAGTACACGTAGATCTACGGGAGTAGGTAACTTCATGTATTGTTTCGTCATGACTAGGAGACAATTAGATAGAGTAGTATATGTCGATTCGCATGGTGATGCGATGAGGCTAGTGAGCTGACTATGTCGACCCGCATGGTGATGCGATGAGGCTAGTGAGCCATCTGTGTCGATCCACACGATGATGCGATGAGCTATAAGATTTCATAAACGATAGTATTGAGAGATGTCTAATAGCTTGAGTTTAAGAGGATGTTTCTGATATGGTACGAAAGGCATATATTGTATGTTTACATAGGATTATGTTCTTGTATTCGGAACATCTATCCACGGGTAGCGTAGGATGTTTGGTTTGACATACTTGATCTTGTCTAGATGATATTTTAGATTTGTTTTCCTTTATTGTTTCATTCATAGGATTTGAAGTTAGGATTTAGCGATTCACAATTTGAGACATGGTATATACATAAGGGTTTCCTTGTTTAGATTATTTCGCTTGACGTACTAATTCTCGTGTTGTGAATTTCTAAATCTCAATCTCCTCTTAGTTCAAGATTATGTGGTTTTATATTTATATATGTACTAACTTATTTTCATATATACTCTTAACCCCCTCTCCCTAAGGGCGGTGGAGATGATCTCGCTAGCGTTTTGACACTCGTTGTTTCCCTTCTTTTCAGACAGCGAGTCAGGCGCACGGAGATTCGCAGGTTGATGGAGATGCAGATTAGTTTCCATCTTATAGCATTAGTAGTTACTTATGCTCCACAGTAGTTCATTGTTTATTTTCAGATATTTAGAGTTGTATCTCATTTTGTAAAGGCTGAGCGTCTTAGTTCTATTTCATTTGACTCTATGTATTAAGATATTTTACATTTGATCTAGTTTATCAGTTATACTTCAGTTGGAACATGATTATTTGGTTATCTATTTTCTACATCATGTTCATTGCATTATTATCTTTATTTGCCTGTTTTGTACTTACACTTGTTGTTGGATTCCACTAGAGAGATATTACTGTGATGGTGAAACGTGTTATTGCACAATGTGTGGTGCATGACATGTTTGACATCATTGGGTTTACCTTGGACTGCAGTCTTGTGTGAAACCAGTAGCGTCGCAGTCCTACTTTGCACATATATACCCTTAGTTGTGTTTGACTATACTTGTTCGGAAGTCTTAAAAAATTAGGCTTTTGTACCATCAGTAATGCAAATGTGAATACCTCTTTTGAAAATTCTCATGCAATATTTACATGTTAATTTAGAGCATGCTAACTCGTACTATTTTTTAAATTTACTACTAAATGTATCAAAATTATATTTTAAAATAGAAGTAGGGTAGCTTTGAAATAGGATCTAGGTAGGTTTGCACTAGATTTAACAACAAACAAGGGTTAAAATGTCCGATATCATGTGAGCGTAGCACGAGAATTTTCCAAAGGAAAATCTCATGTGTGCATAACTGAGGTACTAAGGGGGTGTTTGGTTGCATTGTTTTTGAGAAATGTTTTCTCAAAAGTACTGACGCATGGCATTTATGTAATTAAGAGTTTTCTATACATTTCTATAAACTGTGTTTGGCTCCAAAAAAATTTACAGAAATGTTTTCTGTAAAGTGCCCAAAAGTACCAAATTTTATGGAAATTGATTTCCTTCTAAAATGGGAGGAAATCTCTTGGAAATCTGACGCATTCATTATTTAAATAATAAAACTCATTAACTCTTTTCTACAAAGTTCTCACTTTTCTATAAAGTTGGTGGTGTTTGGTTACATTTCTATAAATTATAGGAAATGTTGCTATTTTCCCAAAAGTTATTTCTCATTTTCTTGTTTTGAACCAAACAAGCACAATACAAAAAATAAGAAAATTTGTACTTTTTAACTTCTCAAAACTTTTCCTATAATTTTTTTAAGAAATACAAGGAAATCAAATTTGGGATGGAAAACATTTCCTATAATTTATAGAAATGTAACCAAACACCCCCTAAACTTCTAGAAATTTTACAATATTTTTTAAAAGGCTAAATTGCACTTCAACACTCTATTGTCTCCCCACATTTACACTTAAATACATTAAGTTATAAAAAATAGCACTTTAATACCCTAAGTTGTAAATAAATAACACATTAGAATCTTTTTATAGTTGTCATGGAAAGATTCCTAAGAATCGGTCTTGAGAACTAACAGAAGGTATTAAAATGCTACTTTCTTATAATTTAGGATATTAAAGTGTTAATTTTTATAATTTAGATCATCAAAACTCTACTTTTTACAACTTAAAATATTTAAGTGTAAATGTGATGAAACAATGGGCTATTCACGTGCCACTTTTCTTACAACTTATTGTATTAAAGTTCTGCATTTTTACAACTTATACATCAAAGTGTTACTTTTTATAACTTAGGATATTAAAGTGTAAATACGGTGAAACAAAAGGTATTGTGAAGTGCCGTTTAGCCTTTTTAAGACGAATTTTAGGGTACTTAAGTGCAGCCGAGTACAACTAGGGGTATATTGTGGCAAATAGGCGCGAAAGAAAAAGCGAAAATTGCAGGCCCCCCCCCCCCCCCCCCATTATCTCTCTTCATCCGCAGCCAATTTTGTGTGGGACCCACAACCGGTCAGTTGTTGTGCGATCGAAGCACCGGTCGTATATAAAATAAGCGCCGCTCTCTTCGAAAAGTCGTCATCGTTGTTTGTTACCCCCCTCTTTCTCCCCACTCTAAAATCTAAAAATAGAACTCTCAATTACCTCACACGAACTCGAAACCCTAGCTCTCTAGCTCCTCTAATGTCCTGATCTCCAACGCCGGAGGAGATGGCGGCGGAGCTAGGGCAGCAGACAGTGGACTT